CCTTCTCCAGTGGATTGCTCCCAGCCAAGCCAAGCCCAGCCAAGCCACACAAAGCCAAGAGTTTTTTCAATAAATATTTTTCTGTTTCTCTGCTTTGGGGTCCTTTGCATTCCCATAACAGAACAATCTGGCCAATTATGGACCCCGCAGACCCTGAATCCATCGTCAAAGCTGTTGTATCCCAGGGACAAACATTAGGACGACATGAAGAAGGACTCAAAGAAATTGCTGAGACTCTGCAGAGACTCTCCACTGTTGTCAAAAATAATTATAAATAGAAGGTTAAGGACCATGACCACCTATGACAATAACATTACAATACTCCCTCTCTTGGTCGTGGGCCAAGTGTAAATGTATGCGTCTGTGTGTGTGTGTAGATTACGGTTCCAATTATCTCCAGTTGTTTCTCCCGGGTCGTCCTCAATTCGTATTGTGGGCTATGGTGCCAACGTAGAGGCTCATTTCCTCTCATGATCCATACTACTGTGTTATCCCTGAAGCAGGTGTAGTTTATCTTTTATCTGAAAACGAAACATTAGAACACAAGAAACGCCCACTTCCCTCTCTTCGCATTGTGCAGCTTGTCAATCTTTCCAATTGGGCAAACATAACTGCATTGACAGACGGTGTGTGACATCAGGGCAGAGGCAAAGTTGTCCTCCGCCCAATGACCGCTCACTGCGGTTGGACCGAATCACTGTCAGGACAAGCAGCAGAGGGAGGGACTCCCAGTACCTTCAGCAAGGTATTCATTCCAGAGTACTTTCCGCAGAGTACTTTCTCAGAGTACTCATCCCAGAGTACTCTCACTTTTACACTTGTTCAATTAAAGCTTGTTATCTTTGAATCTCTAGTACTTACACCGTATGCTGTTGACATAATGATCACATTAAAACATTACAGGAAAACATTTGTTATTCCATTCTTCGTTCACCACTCCTCATTCACTCCTCATTTCACAACACACTCCTGGCCACACACCGACTCCCCACATTAGTATATTGGTCCAGAGTTTGTTAAGGTCAACGTAGTGTACTTGACATGACGCACAAACATATAACACACACAAACATATAGACAACACAGGAGGCCTGTAATTTTAACGTTGTTATATTTTTCCATGTCCAATTACAATTGTCTCATGAGCTATTTTATTGTTGCAACTTTCAGAGCCTGCAGAACATGCAGAGCTTTAAGAGATTTTTCCTAAAAGGATCCATTTCAAACTTTAGTGTTTAAACCACGTGGTCTTTACTCGGGCTTCTCACAGACTGTGTCCCCTATATTTTTAATGAGCTCTTGTTGTTACTTTAAGACTCGTGCACGTGCTATAAATGTTTTTCCCTTTTTTAGTAAAGCCAGTTCGGATTCATTAAAAATGTTCGGAGTCTTTCAATGTCTTTTGTCTCAAAGTGTTCAATGTCTTTGTCTCAAAGTGTTCAATCACTTTCTTCTTCTTTCAGTCTCTTTCTTCCGATAACTTTTTCTCATGGCTTTCTTCTCCTTTTCAATCACTTTCTTCTTCTTTCAATCTTTTTCTTCTTCTTTCAATCTTTATCTTCTTCTTTCAATAACTTTCTTTCTCAGATCTGACGCACACAAGTGTGTCGTGTCCTTCTTCTTCTTGTTAGGTTTTTCCGGCGGTTGGCGGCCTATTTTTCACATTACCGCCACCTTCTGTTCCGTGGATGGGTCAACACTCAGTTTGTGAAAAGTCTGTGGTCTTTTCTTTGCCATGCTGTTAGAAATGGAGGATGGAGAAGTCTTCTTCGAGAGTTCCTGTTTAGCTGCTGCAGCCGATGCTGCTGTTGTTTGTGCCCCCTGTGGGTGAAACGGGGGAGACGCTGATGGTCCGTTTTAGTAGACGCTCAGTTGAGGCTTGTGGCGGGGACGGTTTTGGCCAATGAAACAGACAGAAGTTTTCTCAGAAAAAACAGACAAACAAGAAACACAAACAAGTGTGTTAATTACCCTACAAAACCAATGATTAATTACAAATCTAAATAAACCTATGAAATAATGAATATTAACATTTTAAACATTAGATTCTGAAAACCAAATTCTGCATTCAACTGCTATCCTAAACCCTATTTTTCCAAAAGTATAATGCTCTCTAAGATCATTCTAACTTTTATATCACCAAAATGTAGGGAAAAAATGTTTAATAACTTGTCCAGACGCCTTGGAGATAAAAATAAAATAATGCCTCTTTATAATCTAACTCAAAGTTCTGTGATCATATGACTCCATGTCAGTAACATTATCGTGTGTATAAATGTAATTTTCTACAAAAAATATATATTTGGTAATAGTTCTGTCTTCACGAGAGAGAGAGAGAGAGAGAAAGAAAGAGAGAGCAGACAGAAAGATGAAGGGGAGGGGGCTGAGTGGCCTCTCGAACAAAGGAAAACATGGACGATTGAAATACACCCCCTTTGGTCATTTCTCCACATGAAGAAACTCGCATCTACAGCCAAGTGGCTCCTTTTTTTTTCTCTCATTAATCAGATCATTATTATCAGAATCCAACATTTTGTTTAAATTAAATGTACCCTTTTTTCCGCCCCCCCGGGGGATATAGAAGGTTTTATTATCCTGCTTCTGACCCTAAAGCTGTCCCTATTTCTAATTCTATTTCTATTTTCACTATACTTGTGCCTCTCTGCACTTTAAAGCAGTGTGCCTCTTTTGCACTCTAAAAACTCTCGTGGACTTTCTTTTCTCCCTTCTATTTTTTTAGAGAGAGACCAAATCTTCCCTCAAGGTTAAAACGTCTAAACTTAACTATTGTTTTACCGCGTCCGATAAAACGCCCATCACGGCGATCTGTCCACACTGCAGTCCGTCGAGCCGAATTCTCTCTCTCTTCCATTTAAAACAATGTGCAGATTTTCAAAAGTATGATCTGCTTACCTCTTTTGAAGCGACTTTTTCGAAGAGAAGAGAGAATTTCCCAGGCCCACGGACCCAGTCTATATCTGAGCTCATCTTTGTCTTGCTCCTGCACCATCACGTCAGGCTTACCAACTGTTGTCAAAAATAACCCTTGACAGACGTGTTCAAAGTTGATGCAGAAGTAAGACGAAGATATCCAAGTTTAACATCTGTATTTAATTTATCTTTACAATCAGATACAGAAATTCAACAAGAGAGCTCCTATGCTGCCTATGTCCCTCGCTGGCCCTGTGCTGACTGTCGCTCAGAACTCAAGCCAACAGTTTTATCAGGACGTCCGATGACGTCATATGGTCTGAGACTGGATTCCGGTCTGGTCTGGTCTGGTCTGGTCTGGTCTGAGGCTGGTCTTCCTGTTTGCTCTCCTCGTCCTTGGGGGCTGCGGAAAAAGGGATTCACACATTCCAACCTATAGCTTCTTCCTTTTAAGGAAGAAGCCCTTCTCCAAACAACTCTTATCTGGCTGGGGGCTGGGGGAGTTCCATAGGTCAAAATTGCCTCACATATGTTTTAGTGTGTCAGGCCTTGTCCGTGGTCCTTCTCTGAATTCCACTAAATCTAGGCTTAATATTGCACAAAGACATGGTATTCAAACACCTACTGAAAATCATTAGTATACAACATTTTAATTCTACAACAC